CGAGCAGCGCGGGGCACCGCTGGCTGGGCCCTGGGCAGCCGGCGCTGGCGAGTCTTTTGCGCTTTCTTCTTTGTGATGGGCTTTGGCTATCTGTCTGTAGAGGGCATTACTGATTTAGAAACTATCATCAAGAGAAGTCAAGCTTTCTGGTTACGGGATGTAATGGGAACACCTCTGTGGGAAGACCTCTAGATATATCCTTTCCCTGATTTGGCCCGCCCCCGGCCCTTGGAGGGGAATGGATCATTTAGGTGAAAAGTTTTCAGATGGAGATGTTTAAAATGGTCTTTTAAACTCTGTTATACTTTTACCTTATGATAATTGTCCATTGTATATGCAAGTTCTTTGGTCTTCAGAAATGGGCTTGTGGCCATTACAGCAACCTATTGAATGTTTTTTAAATTGTCTGAAAATTGGACTATGAACCTTGGACCAGAGTCTAGAATGGATAATTCTGGAGGGATCACTAAACAAAATGTGGTGCATGTTAGGGTGAAATTATACTCTTTGATTCTTTCGGGAATGGAATGCAATGGGTTTGTGGCATTTATCGCAGGTGACTGTAGTTTGAATGAGAAAATGTATAGAAATATGTATTGATTGATATATAACATCACCTCACAGAAACAAGTGGTATTACTGGTGACGTTTTTGAATTTTGAGTTGATGTAAAAACTTGATTCTTCCCTAAAGACCTTTAGATCTATGTGTGTTTGCAAATAGAAGTTCAAGATTTTCCTGCATTTTGCATGCCTCCTCTGAAAGGCTGGTGGGGTGAAAACTTTTTTGGGATCTCAACAACTACAGGATTTGGTGTTCCTACTCATGTGTGCTCCTTAGTCTCTTGCTGTGGCACTGTATTTTCTTGTTCAGCATTTTCCTGGTAAGTAATCAAACTGACAACAGCAGACTGCCAGCAAGTTTGCTTTCCTTGATGACCATCATGAATTTTGTTTTAAACTGCTGCTAACTGGGGCCATCAGCACGTAGGCTTACATTTGCATCTGCTTGCTTTCCCAGTTCTCTTTCTGTTGATATTCCTTTGTCATACTAGAATGAGGATTAAATGGAGGGTAGGAATCAGTTTAATAGACACTTATGAAGTTTCTTAAAGACAAATAGCTGGAAAATGTGTAACATTTTCCATCTTCTTTATGTGTTACTGTTACCTTGCAGGAAGAGGTGTGATTTGTCCAGGCAATCTCTGTCTCCTGTCAAACCCAGGTTAGGATTCTAAAATCAAATACTACATGAATGTAAACTGCCTGCAAGTTCATAATAAAGTGCCTGCAGACAAATGCCTGCAACTTCATAATAATTTCATCCTCGTGTATATGTGTACAAATCCATGGAAAACAGGACATAATCCTGTCCAAATATGTTGATAATTATGCGTATAAAACATTCAGAATCATAGAGCAAGTGGTGACTTGAAGCTGTGATAATTTAAGAGTCTGTAGCACTGTTAAAAGGTAGATAGTTGGAGAAAAAATCAGCCGTGCTTGTCTTTCCTTGATTGATGCTAAGATAAGGTGTATACAGATAATTATCTCATCTAAATAATGACTAGTTTTAGTGTGACATTTTATTTTTCCAGCAGATGAGGATTTATTAGGTGATGGAAATTCTATTAACAGGAAATGAGTCCAATTTGGCTTTGCAAAATATAGCATGTGCCAAGTCTAGACTTAACAAGCATCATTTGTGAAATCATTCTGTAGCATTGTAGTGTAGGGGAGGGTGAGTTCTGAAGTTTGCAAGCATCCTTTTTTATGTTTACGTATTAATTTTGTTCCTCAAATCTTTGTAATTACTTGGGGGTAGGCTAAAGAGAGCTGCAGAATAGTCATCTTGAAAGATTTTATCTGTGCTTGTAGCATTTTAGTTTCTTCATAACAAAAGACAGATATGATACACATGTAAGCAGGATGTGAATGCCGTGGGGCATCTGTGTGACACTTGCTTTTCTTTTTGTCAGTGATGAAACTGGCATGCAAGTAACCTCTGAGGTTGGAGCTCTGCGTTCCAGAAATGTTGCTCAGCTTAGCACAGGCCAGTGTTGCGAACCCACTTGTTCACATGATGGTAGTGTGCATGTACTAAACACGTGTGTGGCTCTGGGATGCTGTTCAGACAAACTGAGCTGCTGCAGTGGATTTGCCTGATCAGTGATTGGATATTCGCTTTCATCAGCTCATGATCAATAGCATGTACACTTAACCCTTCACAATATTAGAACCCTTCAGTGTTTGTGCAAAACCACTGCTATTTGGTTTTATCCATGACCTATTTACTTAATACAATAAAATAAGATTAGTAAATTCTACTGATTTAAAAGAAAATTTCTGTGGGAGCAGAGCCTTAGTTGCAATCCTGTGAAGCTGAAGTTGCACCATGCTTTAGCCCAGGTTAAATGCAGCCAGTGTAATGGCTTGCCTTCCTAATGATGCTCTCTGGCAACTGTGGGCTTCAGTAGCGTAGGGAAGTCAAGCTGTATCATCTGTATTGTGGGAACATGATACCATCTGACAGTATCTCGCCCTCCCTCAGGGCTAGATGTCTCAGACTGCTTTACGCTGATGGAATAGCAGAGCATCACTGGGGCCTGGACAGAGACTGTCATCATTTTATGAATTGGGATTAGTCCTTTGAGTCTATTGGTAACTGGCATTACAGTATGGCCTTAGTATCATTCTACATAGGTGAATAAATAGACAGCCAGGACTTTGTTTTCCTTAGGTTCGTTATAGAAACATTCAGTCAGTCTTGTGCTAACTCTGGAAACAGCGGATTCTTGCTTCAGTGGTAGTACTCATCAGTGAAGATTTGCTCCTGAATTCCAAAGACAGTGTTGCTTATAAATATTTAAAATTGGTAAGGAAGTAAGGCACTGTGCTAGCTTATTTCTTTTTGTCAGACCTTGAAGCTTAGATACTGATAGTGTCTTACTTGTTCCCCTTCAGTTGATGTTTTGGTAGGAGCTGTCCACTGGATTCAAATTTACCAGAGGGTGGAGGGTTCAAAAAAGGGAGTATAAAGGAGTGAACTGGAGCCATTTTATACACATATGTATATATGTAGGGGAATAAGATACATGGAAATCTAGGCTTTATTCATTCTGCTGTTCACAGAACAATTTGGGGACATTTCCATTGTTTTGAAGGCACAACATTTGGCTTGCTAGGCTGGCAACAAAAGCATTTGTTTAAAAGCTTACCAGAATACAAACTATTTGTTTTGGCTCTTTTATCTTGCTTATGAGCAGGCTGACATGCTGCCATTTTTTTTTTATGCCAAAACCATGTCTATTCTGGGCACCTATTTACTGTGGATGTAAAAATTTCTAAGTACAGCAGAGGCTATTTACTGTTATCCAGATCTGCGTTTTTGCAACAGGTTCCAAGCTTATTTTTGTATTTATTGTGTAAAATCCCAGACAATTAGATTTCCACCTGGCTAAGTAAAACAAATGCATTAGCTGCCAAGGACTGTGACGAATGGCAGTGTGTGCTATGCCAGTCACCTGCAACTTTGCAGAGACAGCAGTGTAATGTCACCCATTTGATTTTTCTTGTGGTTGTTGCTTAGAAACATAGCAATTAAATAGCCTTAAGTTTAGAGTCCACTGCAATGTTTTGTTTTTCCTTAGCAGTTACGCTGGCTAAACTGTCTCTCTTAAAACAAAACTATGTAATAGTAGTGCTGAGAGATTTCAGTGAATGCACTGGGCTCTTTTTTACTGAACATCCTAAAACATGCTTGTCAGTTGCAATGTAGTCCTGCTCACACTTAAGCTGTTTAGACTTGTGCTGTTACATTATGTGCTTCTGGTTAGCTGTAGTTAGTAGAATTACAGGTAAGTCGTGCCTGAACAGAAACTGAACAGAAACATTTTGGCTTTATTTAAAAGGGACTTGATTTTCCCATTGTAAATTCTCATGTCAAGTGTCATGTCTGCTGATAGCGTCTGTGCAGACTCCATTTTGCTTCTGTTTTTTGCCTTTCAGTCATTAAGTCCCTTGTGAAGGTCCCATTAAGACACAAGCTTGGAGGAAGCATTGTTGTTATTAGTGTTACTGTGAATAGGTGACTTCAAGACTCAGATACAGCAACGTTCGACAGCACTAAATTTACTTAAACTCTCTCAAAGAAATCACAAACCCATCAACGTCTTTCATGAATTAATTTGCTGTTGCAGACAGGACTTGGGGCAATGTGTATGCTTTTAATATTACCAAGTTAAATCATCTCGGCTGCAGTTTTTATTCACTGCAGAAAGCATTATATTAATATTCTGATTAGGTACAGATTAGTTTTTTTGTGGAATAATTTGAGTAAGTAGAATATGTCAAGCACTGCAGCAAGATTACTGAGGTTCAAAGCACAGCACTTTGCATTTTGTTAATGTCATGTACTGGCATCGATGCAGTTGAAACAGTGTAATGTGTTTATATCAGTATTTGTGTTAGGAAATTTAAGAGGCATTTCAGCAAGAAAATGTAGAGATTTTTTTTTCCTAAATGGAACTACACTTTCTGAGCTACGCAGTGTTTCTGGCCTGCTGCATAGTAAAGCATTTTTCTGATTAATTTGTTGATACTGTGAACATAAAAATCCTGGGAAAATGTTTTGATTATGTGTATTTTAGAACAGCAGTTGAAGTATCACATTTATCTTAACGTTAAATTTCATGAGCTGTAACTTGCCACAAGACAATTAAACATTTTATTTTTGCCTTAACAGGATGATGGTGTTTTGTTTTCTGAGCAGAACACTGCAACTAGCAAGACATTCATCCAGTCCACTGGGGAGACAGCTCTGTTCAACCAGCGCAAATAAGCCAGTATTGACTTTATTCACCAAGGTAAAAGTTGTTTACGGAATAAAGCTAGGCAAGGCTGCGTACTTATCAGCTTTGATATACATGAATCCCAGATGAAATGGCTTGGCCATGACTTTTGTCTGCTTCAAATCTGTGTAGTATTGGGCATTCAGACTTTACAGCACAATCCTACTGTCATTGTAGCAGACAAGTAGTTACAACCAACAAATGAGGATTTCAAGATGGTTGTGTCTCAGTGACTCTACAGTCCATTTACTAGTTGAAAATTGTACTGTTAACTGCCAGTGTTTCATCCTGGAAATGGAGAACAAAGATGAGTTGTTATACCTAATCTGCCCAGGACAAGCATCAAAAGCCAAAGTAGCCTTTTTCAAAGCGCTCATGTTTGATTTCAGCCCTACCTGTGAGACTGAAAATGTATCCAGGTAGTGTTGATAGTGCATGAGGAAAACGTAGATTGTGCTTTACCCTCTTTTTGCTTCATTGGCTGTGTAATACTAACAGCAATAAAATGCAGGCAAAGGTTTGTCTGTGGCATGAGCAAATAGGATTCTTAAGCATATTTAGAAAACAGATGTGATGCGCAGGAATGGTCATTTGTGAACTGTCACCTTTCATGAATTGTCATCAAGAGCCTGTGTTACCTGCGTTTTTAGATAGCATGGCACACAGCAGGCTATGCTGCATTCATGTGGTTGATGTAGCCTTCAAGAGGAGAATAACTAGAAATGCAAGGCACTGAGAACGTTGACATCAGTATGGCGGTATTTGTTGGAGATGGATGTGATTAAAAAAATTTCCTCCTCCTGCACAGTGTTTGTTCATTCTATCCCTAGCTGTAAAGGACTGTTTAAACTGTGTAACGTGTGAATAGGTTAAAAAATAAAAGGTCACCATCTATTCATTGATCAGAGCAATGCATGCTACAAGAAGAGCTAGGCTTTAAAGTTACAGCTCACTCTCCTACTGCCTGATTCAGCATGAACTTATTCATAATCCAAATGTGATAAGGTAGGGAATAATGAGCTTACCTTTGGATTAATAATTGGAAAAAAGCTCTTTGTATGATTTATGTGTCTTAAAATTCCAGACTAGTAAGACATTGTATGAAATCAAATTTTCTAATGGCAGAGTTCCAGTGGTTCTCTAAAGTGGCCTCTTGTTGAATATGTTTTTAACTTAAAATGTTTTTCATGTATGATACCACTGGTAATTGCAAAGCAAAGTGCGGACTACTTTAAATCTAATCTGCACTCTTGGTTTATGCTAATTAACTCCCTTTTCCTTCCTTCCTATTTTTAAGAATAAGGAGAAGAGAGGAGGAGAAGGCAGGAGAGTGCTATGACTTCCGCAGCCACTTCAAACTGATAGAAGCTGCCACTGCCAAATGGTTTTCCCCTCACAGGTTCCTTTTCTGCCAACACAAGGATTTGTGCAACAACTGCTAGAGTTTTGGGGGGTATTTTTTTGCAAGGTTACTATTAACTCAGATCAGTTCTCTTGTTTAGCTCTACTGTGCAGCTGTTTGAGTGCTTATGCCAGCACAAAAGAAGCACTGACAGGAAGATTGTTCTGCTTCCTTCAGCATCAGTGCCAGCTTAAATTGACCACAAAACTGCAGTCTAGATATGCAGCATAAATTACAATTATCTGTAGAAGTAAAACTGTCCCTTTCGCCATGTGTATTATTTAACAGAACTAGCTATCAGCACAGGATGTGTCACTTTGGGAAGGGATTTTTACTACCTCAGCAGCAGGAGTGTATTTTGCCGCTGTAACACACATCTGAGAGAGAAGGTTGTCCAAGACAACTTTATCCAGGCAGCCCTGTTACAAATTAACATAAAGCAAGTGACAGCAGAGTCAACTACTGTTGCGCAGTTCTAGTGAAAAATGTGTACTAATATAAATGGACCGTTTAAACAGATGTCACTATTAGTTGAAATAGTTCACTATCTGATTTTAACCAGTTCCAATCTTATTTGTACCATGTAGTGCTTAAGCTTGCCATCAGAGCAGGAGTGAAAACATACTCTGCTAAGAGTCACCTTAGTTTGTTAAATGCTTTTATGTGACTGTGATGTTAGAAAGCTCTCCACAGGCCTAGAGGAGCCAAGTATGTCCTGTTTTGACTGTAAAGAGCCTGGCATGTTGCAAAACTGATATGGAGGATTCTGGGAAAGACAATTTAGATTAGATGTGAATTAAAAGTAGAATATTTAATCCAAATTATTTCACATGCAGGAAATAACAAGCAGCTGTTTCAGCTTAACTCCACGTTGAAACAAGCCCTAGGAAGACTTTAAGTGGAAGGAAGAGGAGAGGGTCTTTTCAAGCTGTGAGAGGTATTTCGTGGCAAAGGGATAGAGCCATCACCCGCACCACTGTGTATGTTGCTATGTGAATTATAGGCTAAATTCTGCCATTACAAACAGTGAAGCAACATGTCTTCACATGAGTCACTTCTTCAGGTACACAGCGCTCTCATGATCGTGATGCGTGAGCAGCAGAAGTCAACTGTAGAACTGTAGTGGAAGACAAGGGAGTTTTTAAAAATGAGATGTTTCTTTTACCCCATGAGAGGTCAAAACACTGCAGCTGTTTGCCAGTTTTTCCTGCTGGAGGTTACTATCCTCCCAGCTCTGCAGGTTGGAGGATTGTGCTTAATTCCTTTCAGGCAAAGTCAGCCAGGTTATCATCAACTTCTTTTGCTATTTGAACTGACCCAAGTGACTCAGCCTCAAAGAGGTTAGAAATTACTCATGTGACCTTCACCTTCTATCAAGGGAAATTCTTCTATCAAGAGTGGTACTCCCAGTTGCTTCCAGCTGGTGATGGTAGTGCTTTGAATATTCATTGCTGCTGACCAAAAGGAGTCTGTGCATGGCCTTCCAAACCATGCCCTTGAATCAGCCTTTAGAAGAGCTGTTGAAAAATTGTTAATTTGCACCATGACAAAAATAATAGCAAATGAGAAATAATTAAATTTTGTGGCTGAATGATTTATTTTCTTTTCATCCATGCTGCCCTGATAAAGTAAAGAATTAGAAAGCGGTAAGACAGGCTGTTTGGGGAAGGGGACTCGCATTCACAGTAATGATTACTCCTGTATGTTACTTTACAGTACAAATGATCTGTGTATTTTACTGTATGTTTTTAAGTTGGTCTGAACATTTTCCTTTAGAAACCGTGCCCTCTATGTGATGAAGCAAAAGAAGTGCTTGAGCCATACAAGAGAAGGGTAATGTATTGCAATACTGTATAAGTTTTCTATCTGGAAAGGAACAGTTAATCAGGATTCTTTCTTTGTAAAAGAAAATTGCTTGGATTTATTTGCATCTGTTATTCTTTCATGGGTGACCTCTTCAAGACAATTTCAGCACTGATTTCCATAAAACTCATTATCCAAAAGCATTTTGCGACAATGCTACTCAAATTGGCAAACTAAACCACTATACACCTTGTCACAATAGTTTTTAAAACCACTGCTTTTGTAAATACTATTGCCTTGTCTGGTAGAGCAGTTTGCAGCTTTTATGAGGAAAGTAATGATATCATTTGAGAAGGATGTTAGTAAACGGGTCTTCAAATATTTGAACTATATGTGATTGCAGTTTTTGCCATTCTTCAATCTTGTTTTGATCTCGTTCTTGAAGGAAGAAACTGTTAACAGAAGGATTAAGAGATGTTGCACTCTGCTGCCTAACAGGCAGCTATTGTGTTGCCAGCTACATATTTGTTGTGGTTGGTGCACATAGGAGGGTGGTTCTACACAGAGATCAAGAATATTGTCCTGGACTAGGGAGAGAGCCCTTTGTGGACACGCAGCCAAGGACTGTAGCTACATACATTTTGTATGCCCACAAAATGGGCAGTTGTCTACAACACGGGAGAATAAATCCAAAAGCACCAAGAAAACAGCCTTGCATTTCTGAAAAAAAATTGATCAAAAGACAAGCACGTGTTGTTTTTCAGTGCCCAGTAGGTACTAACATATTTATTTCCTGTCACAGTTTATTTTGCAGGAGGTGGATATTACCCTTCCAGAGAACTCAGCATGGTATGATAAATACAAATATGACATACCTGTTTTTTATTTAAATGGGAAGTTCCTAATGAAGCATCAAGTAGACATTCAAAAGTTTGAGGACCAGCTTGTGAAGCTGGAGTTGCAAAAGGACGGAAACCAGTGAAGAAAATGCAGCTGCTCTGGTGTGCATCTGAAAGGACTGCAGAACACAAATTATGTGAAAAAGCAGTATTCATTATCTGGCCTTACGTTTCTTACAACATATGGTACCAGTGTCCTAAAAAACTTGAGAGACTTGTATTCTATTTTGTATTAATCATCCGGCCAAGCTGCACCGGTAGCAACCTTTTCTGTACCATTCATTTGCTGCTATCCTAGGCTGGCTTTTCATTGACAGAATAAATGCTGCTCCATAACAGCAGATAAAGTGAAACGTGTTTGTATTGGGTTTTCATGGCAAGGTTTTGGTAGTGGGGTGGCTACAGGGGTGGCTTCGGTGTGAGAAGCTGCTGGGAGTTTCCCCTACGTCTAATAGAGCCAGTGTCAGCCGACTCCAAGACACCCACTGCTGGCCAAGGCTAGGCCTATCAGCAGCAGTGGTAGCACCTCTTTGGTACCGTATTTAAGAAGGGGGGTAAAAAACCTGCACAATTGCAGCCAGAGAAAGGATTGAGAATGTGGGAGAGAAGTGACTGCAAACTCCAAGGCCAGTGAGGAAGGAGGGGGAGGAGGTGCTCCAGGTACCTGTGCAGCCCATGGTGAGGCCGGCTATCCTCCAGCAGCCCATGGAGGCCCGTGCTGGAGCAGATCCCCACCTGCAGACCTGGAAGG